TTAAACCTCTTTTCTTTATAAATTACCCAGTCTCAGGTAGTTCTTTATAGCAACACCAGAATGGACTAATACAACCCTTCTCCACAAAAAAATACAAAAATCATGACAACAGGCTGAGCACAGTGGCTCAAGACCGTAATCTTAGCAGTTTGGGAGGCGAAGGTAGGAGGATCATTGAGCTCAGGGGTTTGAGACCAGCCTGGGCAACATAGGGAGACCTCATCTCTACAAAAATTTAAAAATGAGGCAGGTGTGTTGGCACATGACTGTGGTCCCAGCTGCTTGAGAGGCTGAGATAGGAGCATCAGTGGAGCCTAGGAGGTTGAGGCTGCAGTGAAGTGTGATTGCACCACTGCTCTCTAGCCTGGGCAACAGAGCAAGACCCTGTCTTGAAAAAGGAAAAAAAACAACAATAATCAAATTTTAAAGTGGGCAAAAGACAAACGGATACTGTACAAAAGATGATATATGAATAATGTGAAAAAGTATCAACACGATTCATCATCACGAAAATGCACATTAAAACCACAACGTGGCACTGGTACACGCCCACCAGAACGGCTAAGTTAAAAGACTGACAATACCAAATGTTGGCAAGGTGGTGGGGCAACACACATAGCTAGTGGGGGTGTAAAATGGTACCTCCCCTTTGGATGTTTCTTTGGCAGTTTCTTTCTTTTTTTTTTTTTCTTTTTGAGACGGAGTTTCGCTCTTGTTACCCAGGCTGGAGTGCAATGGCGCGATCTTGGCTCACCTCAACATCCGCCTCCTGGGTTCAGGCAATTCTCCTGCCTCAGACTCCTGAGTAGCTGGGATTACAGGCACGCGCCACCATGCCCAGCTAATTTTTTGTATTTTTAGTAGAGACGAGGTTTCACCGTATTGACCAGGATGGTCTCGATCTCTTGACCTCGTGATCCACCCGCCTCAGCCTCCCAAAGTGCTGGGATTACAGGCGTGAGCCACTGCGCCCGGCTTGGCAGTTTCTTTTAAACTAGACATATATCTACCTCATGACACAGCAATTCTACTCTGACATACTTACCCAAAATAAAAATAATAAATTCACAAAAAAAGAGTTACTTATAGTATCTTTATTCATAATAATCCAAAACTTAGGCCAGCCTTGGTAACTCACGCCTGTGATCCCAACATTTTGAGAGGCCAAGGTGGGAAAATCACTTGAGCCTAGGAGCTAAACATATAGAGATGCCCCTCTCTACAAAAATACAAAACTTAGCCAGGCATGGTGGCACGCACCTCTAGTCTAGTTCTGGTTACTTGGGAGGTTGAAGGGGAGGATCCCTTGAGCCCAGGAGATCAAGGCTACAATGAGCCATGATTGCACCGCTGCACTCCAGCCTGGGTAACAGAGTAAGGCCATCTCAAAAATAAATAAATAAGCAAACATAATAACCGAAAACTGGAAACAGCCCAGGTGTCCACCAGTAGGAGCACTGATGGACTAGACAGGGTTAGGGTCATACAACCACGTACAACCCCACAATGAACACATTACTAATGTGTGCAATGACATGGCTCTACCTCAAAAACAGCATGCCAGTTGGGTGAAGTGGCTCACATGTGTAATCCCAGCTACTCAGGAGGCTGAGGAGGGAGGATTGCTTGAAGCCAGGAGTTCAAGACCACTCTGTGCAATACAGTGAGACCCCGTCTCAAAACAAAATTATGTGGAGTAAAAGCAGACACACACAAAAGAACACAAACTGTGTGATTCAATCCATATGAAATTCCAGATAACAATAATCTAGGGTAGACAAAACCAGAGATAAAGTTGTCTGGAGCTGGGAGGTATGGTTGGGCACTGAGATGGAGCACAAGGGAACTTTCTGGGGTGATGACAATGTCTCCATCTCAATAGGTGTCTGGTGTAAGCCTTTGTCAAAACTCAGCAAACATATACTTAAGATGTGTGAATTTCATTGTATATAAATTTTATAGCAAAAGAATAAACTTTCAATATTGAATTATAGTTAATAGCATACATTGTGAAGCATTTAGCGAGAGTGCTCTGATGTCTGTAATGTGCTTTGAAATGTACCAAAAAGGAGATGGATTAATGGGTGGAGGGATGGAAAGATAAACTGTTATGTGAAGAGCCCAGCAGAGTAAGAAATTAAGGGTAGGCTGGCATAGTGGCTCACGTCTGTAATCCCAGCACTTTGAGAGACAGAGGTAGGCAGATCGCTTGAGCCCAGGAGTTCGAGACCAGCCTGGGCAACACTGTGGAACCCCAGGTGTGGTGGTGCATGCCTATAGTCCCAGCTACTTGGGAGGCTGAAATGGGGGGATCTCTTGATCCCGGGAGGTTGAAGCTGCAATGAGCTATGATCACACCTCTGCACTCCAGTCTGGGCAACAGAGTGAGAGCCTATCTCAAAAAAAAAGAAAAAAAGTGAAGGGTAGAATCTAGGTGGAGGCTATACCAGCGCTCATTGTAAAACTTTTTCAACTTAAGCTTTATGTTTGAAATTTTTTATAGTAACATGTTTAAAAAGAACTTTAATAATATTGAATGTGTTTGTTTTTGGAGTTTTAATTTCGGCAAGTGACACTATTGACGTGATTTTTCCATTTACAATTGTGATATAAAGTTTCCTTTTTAAAGTAATCCATTTAAATTAAAAAAGGGGCTCTATTTAAGAAAAGAGAGCAAGTAAATATCAGCATCAATGATCACAGATCCCGCAAAGCTCATGAAGGCAATGAGGGAACGGGCTAAGTCTGGGATGATGAGTAGGATGTTGGGAACAACACAATCTCTAGAGCAGCCTGGGTTTGCATTTCAGCCCTGCTGCCTCCTCAGGGTGTGACCTTGGACAAGCCTTATGTAGGCAATGGGATTGATACAGTCTCCTCGGAAGGGAGCTTTGTGAGTGTGAATGAGAGAACCCAGGGAGAGTGTAGTTTGGAGGCCTCAGTAAGCGGCACCTCCCTCGCACAGAGGGGAGAAAAGCAGAGGACATTCCCGTCTAGGAAAACCGTTTGAAGAATACAACTGGAGCAGGGAGTATATATGTGTGAGCAGTGGGGCTAGGCCGTGGGAGAGAGTCAAAGAAGGGCCACCAGATTGAATGGGGAGTAAGGAAGAAGAGAGAGCCAGTACCGAGCACCCACACAGTCACTTAGGATGGCCAACTATTTCTGCTTCTCCAGCACATCCTCCTCTTGAGAAATGTAATGCCCACCCTTGGCGGGGGTGGACAGATCTTGGAGCCCCGGGCTCCAGGACTGTGTGATGCGGCTTCTATGTCCTGGAGCACGCCTTGCTTCCTTTAACATCCCAGGTCTTCCAGAGGCCTGGGCAGAGAACCAAGAACTCTCCACTCTGCACGAGAGAGACAGATCTAATTCATTAAAACTCTTCTCCCCAGCCACAGGGCATCCAGCCACCTGGAAGGCTGGGACTAATCCTTCAGGCACACTCAACTGGGGAGGGAAAAAACATCTCTCATCTTAGCGGGAGGCCCAAGAGGTCTCTGACTGCTGCACCCGTAGTTCTCAGTTCTTGCTGTTAGAAAGGTTTACTCTGAGCTCTGAAATCAGATGGATCCATCAACTGATTTTTTTTTCACTAGTTTCTTTTCTTCTTTTTTTTTTTTTTTTGAGATGGAGTTTCGCTCTTGTTACCCAGGCTGGAGTGCAATGGCGCAGTCTCGGCTCACCGCAACCTCCGCCTCCTGGGTTCAGGCAATTCTCCTGCCTCAGCCTCCTGAGTAGCTGGGATTACAGGCACGTGCCACCATGCCCAGCTAATTTTTTGTAGTTTTAGTAGAGACGGGGTTTCACCTTGTTGACCAGGGTGGTCTCGATCTCTTGACCTCGTGATCCACCCGCCTTGGCCTCCCAAAGTGCTGGGATTACAGGCTTGAGCCACCGTGTCCGGCTTAGTTTCTTTTTTTCTTTTCTTTTCTTTTTTTTTTTTTTTTGAGATGGAGCCTCGCTCTGTCACCCACCAGGCTGGATGCAGTGGCACAATCTTGGCTCAGGCTGGCATGCAGTGGTGTGATCACGGCTCCCTGCACCCTCAACCCATGGGGCTTAAACAATCCGCCAACCTCAGTCTCCCAAGTAGTTGGGACCACAGGTGTGTGCCACCATGCCTAGCTTTTTTTTTGTTTTTTTTTTTTTTGAGACAGAGTTTTGCTCTTGTTGCCCAAGCTGGAGTGCAATGGTGCGATCAAGGCTCACTGCAACCCCTGCTTCCCAGGTTCAAGCAATTCTCCTGCCTCAGCCTCCAGAGTAGCTGGGATTACAGGCATGCATCACCACGCCCAGCTGATTTTTTTTAATTTTTAGTAGAAATGGGGTTTCACCATGTTAACCAAGCTGATCTCAAACTCCTGACCTCAGGTGATCCGCCTGCCTCGGCCTCCCAAAGTGCTGGGATTATAGGTCTGAGCCACCATGCCCGGTCATGCCTAGCTAACTTTTTAAAAAATATTTTTTGTAGAGACAGGGCCTCGCCATGTTGTCCAGGCTGATCTTGAACTCCTGGACTCAAGCAATCCTCCCACCTCAGCCTCCCAAAGTGCTGGGACTACACGTGTGAGCCACTGCGCCTGGCCTTATGTGTAGATTTTCTTTCACCTCTGTCAGCCCTGAGCTCCCATCTCAGCCTCCCAAAGTGCTGGGACTACAGATGTGAACCACTGCGGCTGGCCTTATACACAGATTTTCTTCCACCTCTGTCACCCCGGAGACAGCAAAACCAACCCATCCTCTTCTTCCACTTCCTCAGCCTACTCGAGGTGGACAACAAAGGTAAAGACTTATGATGACCCACTTCCACTTAATGAATAGTAAATATATTTTTCCTTCTTTATGATGTTTTTAAGAGACAGAGTCTGACTCTGTTGTCCAGGCTGGAGGGCAGTGGTGTGATCACAGCTCACTGTAGCCTCCACCTCCTGCCCCAGACCCCCGGTAGCTGGGACTACAAGGTGTGCCACCACGCTTGGCTAACTTTTAAATTTTTTTTTGCAGAGCTGGGATCTCCCTTTGTTGTCCAGAGTGGTCTCCAACTCCGAGCCTCAAGCAATGCTCCTGCCTTAGCCTCCCAAAGCTAATTACAGGTGTGAGATGCTGTGCCTGGCCTGATTTTCTTAATAGTATTTTATTTCTTTTTGTTTGTTTGTTTTTTTAAAAGCCTACGGCACCCAGTATTCCCAGGCAGTATTTCACTTCTCTAGCTAACTCTATTCTAAGAATATATTATATAATACATATAACATAAAATAAGTGTTAATCAGGCCAAGTGCGGTGGCTCATGCCTGTAATCCCAGGATCTTTGGGAAGCAAGGTCAGATGGATCACAAGATCAGGAGTTCGAGACCAGCCTGGCCAACATGGCAAAACCCCGTCTCTAGTAAAAATACAAAAATTAGCCAGGTGTGATGGCGGACGCCTGTAATCCCAGCTACTCGGGAGGCCGAGGCAGGAGAATTGCTTGAACCCGGGAGGCGGAGGTTGCAGTGAGCCAAGACAGCGCCATGGCACTCCAGTCTGGACGACAGAGGGAGACTCTGTCTCAAAAAACAAAACAAAACAAAACATGTTAATCGACTATGTTCTCAGTAAGGCTTCTGGTCAATAGTAGGCTCTTAGCAAAGTTTCTGGAGAATCAAAAGCTGTATGCAGATTTTCGACTATGCAGGGGCTGGCTCCCCTAACCCCTGTTGTTCAGGGGTTAACTGCACACTCATTTGGGAGCTGCAGGCAGAGAGCAGATTCAAGGGAATGCCAGATGATGAAGGCAGATCAGGGGGCCCTACCCATTGTCCATCAGAGAGATAAGAGTAGCTTTGATTACAGTGATGGTGCTAGAGATGGGAAGAAGTGATGGATTCAAGAACTATTTTGGAGCTAAGTCAACAGGTCTTGGTGATGGGCATGGAGGGAGAAGGAGCAGCTTGGGACAATTCCTAGCTTGAACAACTGCATGAGTGCTGATGCCCTTCACTGAGACTCTCAAGAAGATGAGGAAGTTTTTGGTGAGTGGAACAGGGAGGGAGGGTGGCCTGGTTGAGTTTGAAGGATTTTTCAGCCTCCTTCAAAGGAGGAGTCGAGTTGGCAGTTGAACATGCAAGCTGGAGCTCAGAAGAAGATGTGAGAACTGTCCACATATAGGCAGTGATGGAAACCCTGCTACGGCTGAGATCACTAGAGAGAACATCCAAAGAGAGGGGGTTCCTAGGACAGCATTGTGAGGAACTCCAAGTAGAATGACTGAGAAGAGGCTGGTGTGCCTCACAGAGGCAGAAGCATGGCTGGAGAGGTCGAAGGAAACAGAATCATGAATATCAAGGGAACTGGAGCGTCCATAATTGGTCAGAGGCAAAGATAAAACTTTAATGAAGTCTGTTGGATTAGCAAAATGGAGGTCACAGGTGACCTTAGTGAGAGATGCTTTCATAGCATAATGAGATAGAAACCTGGATAGATTAAGATAAAGAATGAGTGAGATTTTAAGAAGGTGGAGACAAGTGTAGTCAACCCCTTGGAGAAGCTGGATTATGAAGCGGAGGAAAGGAAAAGAAGAGCCAGCCCAGCGCAGTGGCTCACGCCTGTAATCCCAGCACTTAGGGAGGCTGAGCCAGGTGGATCTCTTTAGGTCAGGAGTTCAAGACCAGACTGGCCAATATGGTGAAACCCCATCTCTACTAAAAATACAAAAATTAGCCAGGCGTGGTGGTGCACGCCTGTAGTCCCAGCTACTCAGGAGGCTGAGGCAGGAGAACTGCTGGAACCCGGGAGGCAGAGGGTGCAGTGAACCGAGATTACACCACTGCACTCCAGACTGGGTGACAGAGCAAGACTCCATCTCAAAAGAAAAAATTAAAAAAGAGAAAAAAGAACAAGTAGAGTCACTGGATTTGACAAAGAAGCCGGGGCTTGGGGGTAGGACTGAGCTGAGTAACACCGATGAGCATTCAAGAGGCAGGCTGCTACTGATAGAGCAGAGCAAGGTAAGGGCAGAGCCCAAAGTCCCTGTGCCAGCGGAGAATGGCGCAGATGAGGGAAGGTGAGGGAGATCTTCTCTGAGGGCTTCAATGTCCTCTGAAGGAAGTCGATGACACCATCTGAGAATGGAGAGAAGGAAAAGTCACAGGTTTGAGGAATGGCTGGGAGGTTTGACCTAGTCATTGTGGAGCATGAGGGAGCGGATTGGCCAAAGACATGCAGCAGGTGCAAAGGTCCTGCGCCAGGAGGAATTCTGAAAAGGATGAGGTTGAAGGATCGACCATCTTAGAAGCTGGAGCACAGAAATGAGGGTCTGGGCAAGATGAGGTCTGATATACTGAAATGTGCCATTGCTATCCTGTGAGCCTGTTACACTAAGAAATGCTGGTCAGAATTGAATAGGCAATGATAAGGAAATGAATAAAGCATGAAATCCCCCCTGACTTAACACAGTAAAGGCTTATTTCTCATTTACAAGCAGTTTGCAGGAGTTTAGGTGACCCTCCTCCTTCGTGTCCCACATTGTCTGGACTTGTGGGCTCTGGGATGTCTGCAGCAGGGTGGGTAACAGTAGGCTAAGACCACTCAAGATGTTTCCAAGGGCCAGGCCTGGAAGTGGCTTTCATTGCTTTCACTCACACTCTGTCGGCCAGACTCAATCACATAGCACCCGCATTGTTATCAGGGAGGCTTCTTCTTTTTTTTTTTTTTTTTTTTCCTTGAGACGGACTCTCGTTCTGTTGCCTAGGCTGGGGTGCAGTGGCACAATCTCGGCTCACTGCAACCTCTGCCTCCCAGGTTCAAGCGATTCTCCTGCCTCAGCCTCCTGAGTAGCTGGGATTACAGGTGCCCACCACCACACCCAGCTAATTTTTTACATTTTTGTTAGAGGCAGGGTTTCACCATGTTGGCCGGCTGGTCTAGAACTCCTGACCTTGTGATCTGTCCGCCTTGACCTCCCAAAGTGCTGGGATTATAGGCGTGAGCCACCGCGCCCGGCCCGGAGAGTTTCCTTCTAATTTCCCACATGCTCAGGGTATTTCCTGGATGCTACAGAAAATTTTTATACGTGCTCAGCAAGAACAAATGGTGTGGTGGGTGGATACCGTCATCCCTGCCACAATCCACCCGTCTGTTTGCCAAACCATCAAGTTTTTCTTTGCACTCAGAGACACCCTCCAAAGTCCTATCTAGTCCCTATATCTGGTTCAAAGCCCGGGGTCTCTGGTGATGTGCTTCTCATCCAATGTGGCCCTTCTCAGTCCAGTGAGCCATGACCAAAAAGACAAGGAAGTTGCCCCCTCACCCCACAACACACAGTGGTGGACCAGGGCCGGGACTCAGGGGTGACCGCTTCATCAAGCCCCAGTGCTGCTCTCCGGGAGACACTCTCCTTATCCACTCTTCACATTGGCCCTGGCTCTTCTCTCTGGGACATTCTTCCTTCTCCATCATCCTCTCTGGCTACAGCTGAAATGGCAGTGGCAGAGCCTGCCTTCATTGGGGGCCGAGCTCTGTCCCTCTGCTCATGGATGATTGCAGCCCCAGAGGTTGTTTTATGGCTGGAACTGTCAGAAGGTCTGGCTCCCGGTTCCTTAGCAATGCAAGATGTTTTGCCTGTTCAATCTCCATGTCTCTCCCTTTCTAGTCAATGGCCGGCTTGAGGCTATTTGGAGCAATAAATAGGAGGCGCACCTTTAACCTGACCCTTGTCCTGAGTAACTGCATCCAAGAGAAAAGTTTTACTGGGCTCTTGTTGCCCAGATGAGTCTTATATCTCATCTCTTCCTATTTGGGGTGTAGCAGATTTTCCAACCCTGAAAGACCCTGGGTCTCTGGACTTTTTCCTTTCATTACTGCTCAAACACCAGGTAATCCTCGCCTGAGCTCAACCCTTCCTTATAAATCCTCAGCAAATACAGCCCACAGTAGCCAAGAGGGACAACAAGTTTTCTGCTTTCCAACCTTGTTGCCTTTGGCTGTCAGCCTAGAAAGCACGTGGGATACCCTCCCAAGTTACAGCAGACAGTGGTTTTATCAAACATTTTGCTAATGCATAACACAGACCTCCAACTTTTCAAGGGTCCCCTATCAGTCTGTTTGCTTCTGCCCAAGTGCTAAGCTACTAGCACCATGGGTGAGTAGCTCAGCCTCTCTGGGCCTGTTTCCTCATTGGCAAAAAGAAGACAACAATATCAGCAACTTCATCAGGCTGCTACGGACTTAGCAGGACAAGTCATGTATGGTGTTAGCCTAATGTCTGCTCTGGAATAAGTGCTCAGTAAATGTTATCGCTGCTGTTCAAATAGATCAGTAGGAATCACGTGTGTTCATATAAGATTGCTATACTAAGTTCACAAGAGTCTGATATATACTAGGCAACTGCTGTTTTAAAAATTCAAGGCCTGGTGCGGTGGCTCACACCTGTAATCCTAGCACTTCGGGAGGCTGAGGCTGGTGAATCACGAGGTTAGGAGTTCGAGACCAGCTTGGTCAACACGGTGAAACCCCACCTCTACCAAAAATACAAAAATTAGCCGGGCATGGTGCCTGTAGTCCCAACTACTCAGGGGCTGAAGCTAGGGAATGGCTTGAATCCGGGAGGCGGAGGTTGCAGTGAGCCAAGATCGTGCCACTGCACTCCAGCCTGGGCAACACAGCAGACTCCATCTCACAAAAAAAAAAAAAAAAAAGAAAAGAAAAGAAAATTCAGGCCGGCGCAGTGGCTCACGCCTGTAATCCCAGCACTTTGAGAGGCCGAGGCAGGCGGATCACCTGAGGTCAGGAGTTCGAGACCAGCCTGGCCAACATGGTGAAACCCTGTCTCTAAAAAAAAAAAAAAATACAAACAAGAGACTCACCCGACCAGGGAACAAATGATGGTCACTCATACTGGCCACTCAGTGACTTTTCTCCCTAAAAAGCAAATCTAAATGGAAAGCCCTGTTGCCATCTATATCCATTGCCAATTGCTACAATAATGCTGCATAACAAATGACCCCAAAACTTGATAGCTTAAAATAATAAGCATTTCCTTAGCTTAAAAGTCGGTGAGTTCACAATTTGGACAGGGTTTGGCCAGGTAATTCTTCTGGCCTTGACTGGGCTCACTTAACTGTCAGCTGACTGTATGAGGCAACTGGGGTGACTGTGAGACCCGAATCATCCTCCAGAAGTCTACCACGGGCAGGCTCTCAGGTGGTGGCAGGGGTACAGAGCTAAAGGGGAAGTGCTTTCCAGGGTTATGCTCGCTTCACAGTGACTGATATCTCATTGACCAAGGCAATGAGTTCACCCCAGCATCAGGGCAGAAAGCCCTGAAAAGCTACATGGCGAACAGCATGGACACAGGGATTAAGAATCTACCAGAAGACCTGGCTCAGTGGCTCATCCCTGTAATCCCAGTGCTTTGGGAGGCCAAGGTGAGAGGATCACTTGAAGCCAGGAGTTTGAGACCAGCCTGGGTAACACAGCAAGATCCTGTCTCTATAAACTTTTTTTTTTTTAGACGGAGTCTCGCCCTGTCCCCCAGGCTGAAGTGCAATGGCGTGTTGTCAGCTCACTGCAGCCTCCACCTCCCAGGTTCAAGCGATTCTCCTGTCTCAGTCTCCCGAGTAGCTGGGATTACAGGTACATGCCACCACACCTGGCTAATTTTTGTATTTTTAGTAGAGACAGGGTTTCACCGTGTTGGTCAGGCTGGTCTCAAACTCCTGACCTCGTGATCTGCCCACCTTGGCCTCCCAAAGTGCTGGGATTACAGTTGTGAGCCACCGCGCCAGACCCAAAATAAAATTTCTTAAAAAATCAGCTGGGTGTGGTGGCATGCGCCTGTAGTCCTAGCTTCTTAGGAGGCTGAGGCAAGGGATTCCTTGAGCCCAGGAGTCAATCACACCACTGCACTCTAGCCTGGTTGGCAGAGTGAGACCGGGTCTCTAAAAAAAAGAAATCTATCAGACATTCATAACTGAGTGCTGAGGGTGAATTCAGAACCAAAGAAGTTATTTCTATATTAAAAGTAGGTGTCTCAGAGCTCAGTGGCCTGGTGGCCTCATCCCTGCTGTGAGGACAGAGCTGACATACAAGGCTGGAGTCCTGCTGCCTGCTCTCACGGGGTCAGTGCCTGACACCCACAGACAGATCTCTGCGTGTCTTCCACTCACTTATCCCTTTTTCAGAGGACCTCTGGGGCACGCGCTCTGTCTCATTGATCCCCACGTCTTCTGTGTCTGACACTGGCTGTAGCACATTGTGCTAGTGCAGACAACTTCTGCTTGGCAATCGATGAAATAAGCACGAAGAACAGTGAGTTCCTCAAGGGCAGACAAGATGCATTCTTCTCTACCCCAGCATTTAGTAAAGACCATGACAGTGTATCTTTCCAATTAGATTTCCAAGCATCACTTTTCCTATTTGGACCAAAACAACTACCTGTTTCTGCTTCTGCTGGAAACACAGTATCTAACACAACATCTCTGAAAATCTTCTCACCTCTGCATGACTCTGCTGAGGGATGGGAGCCCAGAGAAACAGGTGAGTGAGGGTCCTGCTCACAGAGGCCCTGGCCTCAGAGCCTTGGGCCTTTGGAGGAACCGGCACTAGTTTGCCAGCAAAGGCACTGGAGCCAGTGGGCGAGACAGAGGTTGTGCAGCTCATCTTGGGATCCTGGAATGAGGTATATGTGAGTTTCATGACAGGCACATCCCACTCTCAGAGCCAGCTTCCCACTTGAAGAGAAAGGACAGCCAGTGATGGGAAGGCCCAGAAAGCATCAGAGCTCATCTCTGCTGCTCAGGGTAAGGAGAAAACCCTCAAAGCAGGGCAAAACTTGAGCCCTTCCGCTGGCTCCCTTCTAAATCCACAAGAAGCCTCTGATCTCCAAACTCTCGCCCGAAGAGCTAGGCTGCACGTGTCCTCCTTGGAAGGCTCAGGTGGTTAAGTCTGGAGCTGCTGAGGGTGTGACATGGTCTCTGTGAGTCATGATCCCTGGGTCCTATAGGGAACCAAGAAAGGGTGGCCCAATCTGTGCCAAGTCATCTACACTAGTAGTCTTCCATGGACAAAGAGAAGATTCAAAATGAGAGGTCGTTAGAAGAGAGATGATGACGGTTGTCTTTCGAGGCAGGGTGGCACGTGGTGCCTAAGTGCATGGGCCCTGGGGCCCACTGCCTGGCTGCAAACCCTAGCCCCATCACTTCCTATCTGTGACTTTGAGCTAGCAACTTCATCTCACTAAGCCTCACTTTCCTCTTCTCTAAGAGGGGAATGATCATTGCACCTATCTCATGGTATTATGGGATGAAATGCTACAATCCATGTAAAGCTCTCAGCAGTGTTGGGTGCACAACAAGCCTAACTATTAGCAGTTACCACTACACCAAGTGTTACCAGGGGGACGGGGGCTATACTAAGCTCTCCAGGTGCAGAGCTTTATTCAGTCCTTATACCTACTCTGAGGTCAGGTTCCTTTCTTTTCGCAGATGAGAAACAGAAGCATTTAGAGGTTAAATAATGTGCCTAAGGTCACCAGCTGATGAACGGGAGCTCCAGGACTCCAGGTTAGGCCTGATTCCTAAACAGCTCCTCTTAACTACTCTGCTTCATTCCCCCTAAACATGAGTTCCAGGGCATCGCCAGAGGAGAACATTTTATTAAACATTAGCTACATCACCTGAAATCCACTGGGAAACAGAATATACATCTTAACGTCCTCACTAGCTGAAAGTTCATGCTGTGATGTGTTGTTACAGAAAATGATATATCCACCCTCCCCCACTTTTTTCCTTTTATACTCTAATCTCATGACAGATTACACAATCCCTTTCTTAAAGAAACATTCTCCTCTTTAAAAGGAATATTTGGCACTTTGGGAGGCTGAGGCAGGTGGATTGCATGAGACCTGGAGTTTGAGACCACCACCCTGGTCAACATGGCGAAACTCTGTCTCTACTGAAAACACAAAACTTAGCCAGGCATGGTGGCGTGCACCTGTAATCCCAGCAACTCGTGTGGCTGAGGCATGGAATCGCTTGAACCCAGGAGGCAGAGGTTGCATTGAGTCAAGAGCCTACCACTGCACTCCAGCCTGGGCAACAGTGAGGCCTGTCCCCACAAAAAAAAAAAAAAAAAAAAAAGGGAGTATCTGGGGTCTGAGAAGATCTGGGATCCAACAAAAGGCTTTAACTCTTCTTTTGCAGCTGTAGGTGATGACAAATGTACTCATCTCCTTTAGACTGATGCTGTCTTGGATAGCTTAAACTTTCTACAACCCCTCTAACAAACTGCTAACAGACCTATCCCACCAATGCCATCTTCCCTGCCAGGAAAATTCAAACACCACTGCTTATTCCGAGGGCTCACTGGGAAACTGAGGTGTCAGGAGGTGGCTTAACTGGGTGCTGATCAGTGTCATCAACTCGACAGCTGCTGGATGGTGAGTCCACTGTCCTCAGATACCACAAGACATACTATTAAGGGGGGCTGTCAGCTCAAAAATCTCACAGACCTGCTGCCATTTAAGGCTGCTCCCGCTTATCATCAAACCTTCCTTCTTTGTCTAGCCACAAATAGCTGCAGATGGACTGAAGGATAAATGTGAGACCTCAACTATCCCTGCAGAATCTTTTCCCGGTGATGTTTAAAAATATGAACCAGGTCTGCGCTGGGGCCACCCTGGCTGGAGCAGAAGAGACATATCAGATGACCCCCAGATAATGCTCAAAGCCAGTAAGAGGTGCTTCTACAATGACCCCCAAAAGACACACTGTATCTAAGGCACAGACAGCTCTGGCACAAGGTGTTTGGCTTATGGATTTTTAAGACTTAGGATGATTAAGAGGAAACGATGGGAAGAGAACAGCCTTTCCTGACCCAATTTAAGGTGTCACGCGGGGAGTCTGTGCAGGAGGACTCACGAAACCACTTGAGTCGGTCAGGACAGGGCCAGACACTCATCGGCCCCACGCAGGCTCTGAAGGAGGTCAGTGAGCAGGGATGTATCAAAGTAAAAGGAATGAGTCTAGCTTCTGTTAATCATGGATCCTTGGGGGGCTGCTGGCCCTTGCTCTATGTTTATTAATTTCTAAAAAATGCACTGTGGCCGGCCTAGTTTTACTTAATGCCTAATAAAGGGAAAAACTGTTTAAATAGCAGCCCTGGGCCTGACACTGAGCAGCTGAACTTAGCAAGATCCTTCACTTTCAAAGATGACACGATCCAGCAGCCTGGGAGGAAAACCATCCCTCCAGAAGCATGCCATTCCCAGGTGAGAATGGCAGCGATTGAACATTGTGTTAAATAAGACAAAATCAGGCTAAGAAGGGATCAAACCCGAGGGAGGGAAATGTTCCAACTGCATCCTTGGTGACTGGGGTTTGTTGCATAACGTGCGAAGGATAAATGGGTAAGTCACCGCCCAATTCATGTGCACTTCGTACAGTCCAGATCTATGTCTATATATAAACTCCAGGCCTGCTTAACATTCTCCCCTGGTACATCAAATGCAGCCCAAGAGACTAGCCAGAGTCTTCAGCAAGCTCCCAGGGTGACGTCTCCTCCCTCGCCTGCCCTGCTTCTGCGAGTCTCACTTCCATTCCTTGCTTAGGGGAGACTGCTAGATTTTTCCATCAAAGGTCTTGTCACCAGGGTCTGTTTTCTCTCTAGTCTTCACTGGGGGTAAGACACTCCGTGGTTCTAATAATAGGCTCAGCTTTCCAACCTGCAGATGAGACACCCTGCATGTGGCTATGGTGACCTCACTGATATGCTAGGCAATTTGTGTTAGGGACAGGTTTTAAGTCCCAGACTGAGGCTATGACTAAATGCTGACATTCACATCTACAGAGTACATACTGTGTAAGTTACCATGTAAGAGCTTTGTGTGTTTCATCTCATTTCATCAACTGGCTGAGATAGGAAGCCTTATCATCCCCATTTTACAGATGAGGCAATTGAGGCTCAGGTCAATTCATGTATCCAGCAGGTAAGCAGCAGAGCCAGGATTTGAATGCGTAACCAGTGCACTGCACTGCTTCCTCACAAGAGCTTCACTGGGTGGCCAAGTTCAGATCTACTCACTTTGCAACGCACCTGGCAGATTCCTACCCACCATGTAACATACAGGTCACGGCTCACAACTGTCATGTTTATTTGCCACAACTTTTCCAAATAGAGACTTCTAATAAACTTTCAGCAGTAAGGCAGTGTGTTGGAGTAGAAAGTTCAGGAGCTTTGGAGGCAGACTGAGCTATACTAAAATCTGCTTTTCTGACTCAATAGCTACTTGACCTTGGACAAATTACTTACTCTCTCTAAGCCCACTTTCTTATCCATAAAATAAGCATAACACCACTTGTCTGGAGGAGTGCTGTGAGGCTTTACTGTGATTAAGTAAAGGCTTAACATTCTCTCCCGGGTACATCCCAGGGTACCTCCCTTCCCTCCTTAGCCAGGGATACTGAAGAGGAGGTATGAGCCATGAGGTGGCTCTGTAGGAACCCTGAAGCTCAACAATGCTGGAAACATGTACGTCCATCTTCCCTGTGTGCAGCTCCTGTAATCACCATCCACCTGCTCATCAAATCTGGCCGACCTTCTTCTGGTCAACACCTTTAGATGCATCTGGTCCAGTTTGGGTGACTGATTCTTCTGCCTAGATTATAGCTCTGAGGGTAAAACCTCTCCAGGGAGAGCACCACTAGCAACACTGAACTCACACAGAACTCACACAGCGCTAGAGCTAAAAACACTTCTGACTAATTCATTCTAACGTATTAGTGCTTATGTATTATTATTTAGTCAACTAAAATAACTGTGAAGGCTGTAGGAATGAGGGGAAGTTTTCTATAGTGCTACATGAAAATAAAATCTGTAATTGTGAACTTGTAAAACTCTATAAACATACGACTATGGGCTATATGAGAAAAGACAAAATAATTGTGAGGGCTGGGGAATTCTAAATTTCCTTTTTTCAGTATTCTTTAATAATTCTCTTTCAATTTACAAAGTGCACATTTTAAAGAAAACCCGATGATGAAGATGTTAGCTCTTAAGCAGCATGCCCACGCCATTCCTGCCCAGGGCCCTCATTCTGCCTGCTGTGCCTCTGAAGGATTCAGCTCAGGAGCCTGGGATCAGCTTGCCTTGCAGAAGGAGCCATACCAGGTTGGAAGCGGGGAGTTACACTTCAACAAAGCCCTGGGCCACTGCGGGCAGGGGGCTGCGGGGAGGGAGGGTGGCTTGCCTTATGGCACGCACAGCTGGCTGCCTCTTTTCTTTGAGTACACTTGGGCTGAGGCAATGAGCAAGCAAAATTGCTTCGCCTGCAGTGCCCTCTCGTGGCAGACTCGCCTCTAGAGATAGCAGCCAGACAAAGCCGGCAGGCCTGCATGCCAGCACTGCTGACAAATCACTTTCGAGGCTCAGAACTGAAAAAAAAAGTATGAGAATGAGTCACACTGCACATTTACATGTATGTCCTAGGAGAGGGTTGTGTCCATCAGTTGAGGAAGGACTGATTGTCTTGGGTGGGGCAGTTGGGCATCTAAGGAAAAGCCGGAAGCCAGGGCTAAGGTCCATCATAAGCAGTTACCGTCCGCAGACTGAACTCCCATGCCAGGCAGTGGGGCACAGCTCAACGTGGCTTTTCAAAGAGGTATTCAAGATCTGGGGCACGCAGCCTCTGCTCTTTGTTTTTGTTTTTAGCAAAGTCTCTCAGCAGTGCCATGACTTCATTTTCAAATATTTCTGGGGCTGGTTTAGCTTCTGCAAGAGAAGAGTGGGCAGGAAAAATTATGCCATAGTCAGTCAATGCTCAGGTATGAGAATCTTAAAACTTTAAACATTGGCCAAGAACCACAGATGGATATATAGACTGTTTCCATCCTTCTTCTAAATATACACAATGTTAGCCTATACCAGGGGGTGGCAAACTGTGTGAGCCTACATTTGCAAGTCGTTTCATTGGAACAGCTGCTCCCAATGGTTTACATATTATCCATGCTGCTTTTGTGTTACGACAGCAGAATTGGGTACTTGCAACAGAGACCATATGACTGCAAGTGAAATATTTACTACCTGGTCCTTTATGAGCAAGTTTGCTGACCCCTGGCCACACAATCTTGGCTGTACTATTTTGCTTGCATTTGGCAATTCCATTGTCTCCCAGACACTGTGTTTTCCCTTCTAATGTATACATTTTTTGAAACAAAAGCTGTGTCTACTTTGTCTCTCAGTCAGAGGTCCTCAATTTTAAGAAACAGAAACTAATAACTCTAGTAAACTTAAGCAAAAAGGAACGTATTGGAAGGATATTAGAGGCACGCAGAACTGACATGAACCTAGAGAACCAGATTTAAGTGAATGGGCAACAAAAGCACTGAATCGGAAGAATGAGAAGGCCAGCCTCGGTCTAGCAGCGGGTTTGCCATGCGCTGCTCCCTCTGACCTTTCTCGACACCCTCAGGACACTTATTTAAGATGCCAGTTAAAAGCAAAGCCTCCCATTGCCAAAGCCAAGGCAATGTGCTCCAGAATTACCCTTCCACCAAGACTAGGTACGACGCCATGAGAGAGAATTCCTCAAAACCAAGTCAGATTCTCCCTTACTCAGCACAGGTCCTGGCACCTAGTGAGTACTCTTTTCATATGACAATCAAAATAAGATCAAAGAGGTTTTGGCTTCCCATAAGCATGTAGAAAGTTGGAAAGAATATCGCACTTGGCCGGGCGCGGTGGCTCACGCCTGTAATCCCAGCACTTTGGGAGGCCGAGGTGGGTGGATCACGAGGTCAAGAGATCGAGACCATCCTGGTCAACATGGTGAAACCCCGTCTCTACTAAAAATACAAAAAAATTAGCTGGGCATGGTGGCGTGTGCCTGTAGTCCCAGCTACTCAGGAGGCTGAGGCAGGAGAATTGCCTGAACCCGGGAGGCGGAGGTTGCAGTGAGCCGAGACTGCGCCATTGCACTCCAGCCTGGGTAACAAGAGTGAAACTCCGTCTCAAAAAAAAAAAAAAAAAAAAAAGAATATCGCACTCACTGTAACAAGAAAAAGCCAGATAAATTACAAATATCATGACTTCTCAAAGGTATCAGAGAGCTGAGGTCACAGGGCAACCCAACAGATAAAACCTAAGGAAAAAGAGGCCCTTCAAAGGAGAAACTAGAGCCATGCACTTGCTCACCTGTGGCAGGCAGAGGAAGAAGAGACACTGGACATCACACAAACGGCTAAAAGGAATTCAGCTAAAAAATTATTTTTAATTAATACAGACAGGGTTAGCCTTATGTTGTCCAGGGTGGACTGCAGTGGCTACTCACAAGTGCTGTTCCACTACTGATCAGCACAGGAATTTTCACCTGTTCCATTTCCAGCGGAGGCTGGTTCACCCCTCCTGAGGGAACCTAGTGGTCCCCTGCTTCTGGGAGGTCAACACATTGATGCTCAGCTTACAGCAGACACCTGACTGGTATAGTGCACTGCAGCCCAGAGCTCCTGGGTTCCAGCGATCCTGCTGCCTCAGCCTCCAGGGCAGCTGGGACTGCAGGCCTGCACCACCAGAATTCGTAATGAACTGTTAAATACGTGAGCTAGCATGAGTATATAAAACCACAGACACAGGCTGGGCATGGTGGCTCACGCCTGTAATCCCAGTACTCTGGAAGGCCAAGGCAGGTGGATCACCTGAGGTCAGGAGTTCAAGTCCAGCCTGGCCAACATAGTGAAACCCCATCTCTACTAAAAATACAAAAAATTAGCTGGGCATGGTGGCAAGCACCTGTAATCCTAGCTACTTGGGAGGCTGAGGCAGGAGAGTTGCTTGAACCTGGGAGGTGGAGGCTGCAGTGGAGCCAAGATCATGCCACTGCACTCCAGCCCAGGCTACAAGAGCAAAACTCTGTCTCAAAAAATAAATAAATGAAATTTAAAATCAAATCACAGACACAAATGGAATATGCACCCACTCACAGGTTCTTCTCACAAAGGGGTGCTCCTGACAAAGACTGGGTAGAAAGCAGGAGGCTGGGAAGAGCCCCCCTCAATGATGAAAGCTAGGAGGAGGGGAAGAGCCAATGTGGCCAAAAAAAAAAAAAAAAAGCATATCCCAGTGCTTTGGGAGCCCAAGGCAGAACTGCTTGAGGCCAGGAGTTTGAGACCAGCTTGGACCCCATTTCTACAAAACAAAACAGCTGGGCATGGTGGCATGCACCTGTAGTCCTACCTACTTGGGAGGCTAAAACAAGAGGATGGCTTGAGCCAAATTTGAAGATGCAGTGAGCTAAGATTGCTCCACTACACTCCAGGTTGGGCAACAGAACGAGACCCTGTCTCAGGAAAAAAAAAGCATAAAGCCCAGCCTGGACTCTTTTCCTCTACCCCTATGGGAGAGGCACTATCACTGAGAAATCCCAGCTCCAAGACTCAGGACCAAAGGAGCTACCTGGGACTAAGGCTAGACCAGGATAGCTCAGAGTGCCCTCCTAATCTCTCCTCCCCTGAACTAACAAGCACCAAGAGGAAAGCAACAGGAAGGCTGCCGCACTGGGGAAAGCAAGAATATAGAGATTCCCTCTGAGACAGAATATAGGGAAGGCTGAGAGCCGAAGGTAGAACAAGAGCTCTCTTAAGAAACCTCTGAAACAGCTTCCACTCTAAGCACAGGTTAACACTCGAGACTGGTGATGCAATGAAGGTAACCAAAGCAAAAACCAAACCCAAGCTGAGCTTACCTCCCAACTCACTGACTTCATCCCCACACTACAGTACAGCAGAAGAAGCATCCCCGATTGTAAGCATCAATACAAACCTCAGTCTTTACTGTCTTCCCCGATGTCTAATATTCAATAGAAAATTATGAGAGGCATACACGTGAAAGAGGAAAACACATCACACTATCAAGGGACAAAGAAATCAACAGAAACAGATTGAGGGATGACCCTGATGTTAGAACTATCAGACAGGGAATTTAAAATGACTATGACTAATATTAAAGGCATCAGTGGAAAAAGCGGACAAAATGTATGAGCAGATAAGGAATTCCAGCAGAGAGTTGGAAACTCCAAAAGTCAGATGGAAATGCTAAAAATAAATACAGTAGCAGACATGCAGAATGATTTCAACAGGCTCATCATGAGATTTGACATAATCAAGGAAAGAATTAGTGGAAGACAGGCCAATAGATATTATCTAATACGAATTACCCAAACTGATACACAAAGAGAAAAAACACACAAAACAGAGAATCCAAAAGCTGTTGGACAGACCAGGCGTGGTGTCTCTTGCCTGTAATCCCAACGCTTTAAGGGGCTGAGGTGGGTGGATCACTTGAGGCTAGGAGTTCGAGACCAGCCTGGTCAACATGGTGAAACCCTGTCTCTACTAAAAATACAAAAACATTAGCCAGGCATGGTGGCACATGCCTGTGGTCCCAGCTGCTTGGGAGGCTGAGGTACAAGAATCGCTTGAACCCAAGAGACAGAGGCTGCAGTAGGCCAAGATCACGCCACTGCACTCCAGCCTGGGTGACACAGCAAGACTGTCTCAAACAAACAAAATAAAACAAACAAAAACCGCCAACTAGAACTTTTGAACAATATTAAACCATTTAACTAAGTATAACTAGAATTCTAGAAGGAAAAGAAGGAGAAAACAAAGCAGAAGAAATCTGAAGGGATTAATGGCTGAGAATTTTTCAACAATAATAAAAGATATGAAAACAGAGATCTAAAACACTCAGAGAACCCAAACACACGACAAATATCAAATACCTAGACATATCACACTCAAACAGCTAGAAACCAAAGACAAAATATTGAAAAGACTCCAAAAGAGAAGATACATACAGAGGACCAAAGATACTGCAGACCTCTTGTCACAAACTATGGAAATCAGAAAACAGCACATAGTAACACAAAAGGAAATATGAAGCTGGTGATGCACTGAAGGTAATCACGGCAAAACCAAAGCCCAAACCCAGCAGAACTCCTGACTACCCGATCTCATCCACTAAGAGCTGGCGGTGGAAGTGTGTCCATTTAAAGGAAGAAAAAACATTGTGACCCTCGAATTCCATATCCAGTGAAAATATCATTCAAAATGGAAACTCTGGCCAGACACCATGGCTCACACCTGTAATCTCAGCACTTTGGGTGGCTGAGGCAGGTGGATCACTTGAGCTCAGGAGTTTGAGACCAGCCTAGGCAACATGGCAAAACCTCATTTCCACAAAAAACACACACACACACACACACAAAAATTAGCTGGGCATGGTGGCACAGGCCTGTAGTCCCAGCTACTCTGGAGGCTGAGGTGGAAGGATTGCTTGAGTCCAGGAGGTGGAGCCTGCATTGAGCCATGATTGCACCACTGCACTCCAGCCTGGGTGACAGAGTGAGATCCTGTCTCAAAATAAAAAGGGAGGCGGGGGTGGGGGCGGAATTTGAAGACACATCACCAAATAGACATAAAGGGCTGATAAGCCCTTGAAAGACCCTCAATATTATTAGTCATTAGGGACATGCCAATTAAAACTATAGTGATGTACCAATATATACTTCTTGGAATGGCTAGAAACAAAAAACCCTGACAATACAAAGTGCTGTTAAAGATGTGGAACACCAACCCCTCCCTTCACGTTTGGCCTCCTGGCAATCACTGATTTGTCCCTGTAAGTTTTGTCCTGTGAGCTAAGAATGATTTTTAGAGATGGGGTCTCACTCTTGCCCAGGCTGGAAGGCAGTGGCGTGATCACAGCTCACTGCAGTCTCTGAACTCCTGGGCTCAAGTGATCCTCCACGTCGCTGGGAATACAGCGTGCACCACCAAACCCAGCTAATTTATTTTTATTTTTGGAGACAGGGGGTCTACGTTGTCCAGGCTGGTCCCAAACTCTTGGCCTCAAGAGGTCCTTCGCTTAGCCTCCCAAAGTGCTGGAATTACAGGTGTGAGCCACTTCATCTAGTCAAGAATGTTTTTTTTTTTAATGGTTGGGGGGAAAAATAATCAAAAGTATATTTCGTGACTGGTGAAAACAATATGAAATTCAAATTCCAGTGTCCACAAATAAGGTTTTATTAGAACACAATCACACTCATTTGTCTATCTGTTGTCTGTGGCTGCTTTCATGCTACAAAGGCAGAGGTGAGTGGTTATAAGAGAGACTGTATGGCTGACAAAGCCTAAAATATTCACTATCTGTACTTACTATCTATATTTCCATTATAGAAAAAAACCTTCTATAGTTACCTATTACAGGAAAACCTTATTAAAAGTTCTATTTTTTAAATTTTATTATTATTATTATTATTTTGAGATGGAGTCTCGTTCTGCTGCCTAGGCTGGAGTGTGGTGGCGCAATCTCGGCTCACTGCAACCTCCGCCTCCCAGGTTCAAGCGATTCTCCTGCCTCAGCCTCCCGAGTAGCTGGGACTACAGGCGCCCGCCACCACGCCCAGCTAATTTTTTGTATTCTTAGTAGAGACAGGGTTTCACCATGTTAGCCAGGATGGTCTTGATCTCCTGACCCCGTGGTCCACCCGCCTCGGCCTCCCAAAGTGCTGGGATTACAGGCGTGAGCCACCACACCTGGCCATCATATTTATTTGTTTTTTTGAGAAAGTCTCACTCTGTCGCCCAGGCTGGAGTGCAGCGGCATGATCTTGGCTCATCGCAACCTCCACCTCCCGGATTCAAGCAATTCTCTTACCTCAGCTCCAAAGTAGCTGGGCACACCACCATACCCAGCTAATTTTTGTATTTTTAGTAGAGACGAGGTTTTGCCATGCTGACCAGGCTGGTCTTGAACTCCTGGCCACAAGTGATCCACCTGCCTCAGCCTCCCAAAGTGCTGAGATTATAGGCATGAGCCACCACGCTCAGTATTATCATAAAGTTAAACATATACACTTACCACATGACCTAGCAAATCCTTCTCCTGAGGATTCACTGAAGAAAATTAAAACCTATGTTCACAAATTCTGCATGCAAATGTTTACAGGGGCTTCACTCATAATCACCTAAAGCTGGAAACAATCGTAATGTCCCTCAATTGGTCAACAGATGAACAGACTGTGGTATACACACACGATGGAATATTACTCAACACCACAAAAGAATCAACTATTGATACAAGCAACAACAGGGATATGAATCTCAAATGCATTATACTAAGTTGGGGCAAACTTGTTTTGTAAAGGGTTGGAAAGTAAATATTTGGACTTTGTCAGATTTCCAGTGATTGTATAAGCCTCCAGACGCTGTCTTCTCTCTTCATACCTGGAATCCACAGACAATGGCTGCTCCTTTCTGATATAAATACTAAGTGGAGACATAAAAAGAGGAGACCCAGAATGCGACAGAAATGAATGACATATCCCTTAATATCCAATTTTTGTTATAACAGAATCTCCAAGACAGCTGGGCAGATGGAATGGACTATATATTATTTTTCCTTATGGCTAGATGTAGCCATGTAACTAAGCTGTGGCCAGTAGAAAACTGGAAGAATGATACATAGTTTCCTGAGAGGGCTCTACAAAGAAGATTCCACACACTATTTTCCTGGCTGCAATATGATCAGGACAGCCCCAGCGGCTATCCTGGATCATGGAGTGGATAACACATGCTAGGATAAAAGAGCAGCAAGTCAGGAGGAACCTGGCCCCATGACTTTTTGAAGCCTCTCTAGGAGCTCTGGAGTATGCCTTCCTCTGGACTTCTGTCATGAGAGAGACAGTTCTACCTCATTTAAGCCATTATTGTTTTGGATTTTTACTCATAGCCAAAGTTAATCCTAACTATACATAGTTAGAAATCATTCTTCATAAAGGCAGTGCCCCAGTGAATTTTTTTTTTTGAAACATAGTCTTACTCTGTTGCCCAGGCTGGAATGCAGTGGTGCGATCTCGGCTTATTGTAATCTCTCTCCCAGTCTCAAGCAATTCTCCTGCCTTATCCTCCTGAGTGGCTGGGACTGCAGGTGCCCGCCACCATGCCTGGCTAGTTTTTCTTTTTGTAGAGATGGGGTTTCACTGTGTTGGCCAGGCTGGTCTCAAGCTTCTAACCTCAAGTGATCCATCCACCTCAGCATCCCATGGTGCTCAGATTATAGGCATGAGCCGAGAGCCACCACGCTTGGCCAGAATGAAACTACTGAGGAGCTCTGGCTATGCAGACTTAGTTGTGTGGTTCCACTCCATTCCCAGCCTGGTTCTTCTTCAACCTTTGATACTGTGAGCTTCATATACCCTTCCACTAAATTCCTTTTTGCTTAAGTTAGACAGACAAGTTTCTACTCTGTCTTGCAGATAAAGAACCTTAACTGATAAAACAAATTTTGTACACTTAACAAAAATGTGAACAGTGTTTGGGTTGAGTGTTTACTTCATGCATACAAGAAAAAAATTACAAGCTGGGGGCAATGGCTGACGCCTGTAATCCCAACACTTTGGGAGGCTGAGGTGGGTGGATCACCTGAGGTCGGGAGTTCAAGACCAGCCTTACAAAGATGGAGAAACCCTGTCTCTACTAAAAACACAAAATTAGCCAGGTGTGGTGGCACATGCCTGTAATCCCAGCTACTCGGGAGGCTGAGGCAGCAGAATCGCTTGAAGCCAGGAGGCGGAGATTGCAGTGAGCCAAGATCGTGCCATTGCACTCCAGCCTGACCAGCAAGAGCGAAACTCTATCTCAAAAAAAAAAAAAAAAAAAAGAAAAAGAAAAAGAAAAATTATCTAGGATACAATTCTAGACTCAAATCAGCCTAAGCTGTTTTCACATTATACCGCTTATCATGCCCAGTACCTGTGGCCCAGTAGTAAATATCCCAGTCATTACTAGGCTCATTAATCAGGCGGTCATAGAGGTTCAGCTCCTGCTCTGTCATGTGCTGCAGATGTTCTTTAGCAAAAAGACTAAAAACAAGAAAGAAAAAAAAAGAAAAAGAGGTTGAAAGGGCTGTGTCTAATCAAAGAGAAGTGACACCAAGACTCATTCCTGGGAGTCTCTCTGAACCTACTCCGGCTCAGGAGGCTGTCTGAATTAAAAACAAACAAACAAACACACAAACAAAAAACTCCTAGTCCCATACCTAAGGAGAATGCAGTTTTCCAACATTCCCCTCTTTCTGCTCTCATAGAGCAGGCGGGCTCTTTTGGTTTCTATGGATTCATCAGTTCTCTCCTGCCACGGAGGCAAAGGGATTTCAATCATGTCCTTTTGGGAATCTGTTGGGCTGTCACCTCTGTAGAAGCGTTTGAATGATGTCCCCCTGAGCAAGGGAGACAACCGGCTGTGCCTTGACAGGACAAGCATCTGAAACGAACAAACCACAAACATCTTTATAGTAATGATGACTATCAACAGTATCATTTACTCAATGCATATTGGGTGCTGAATGCATTCAATCACATTTAGTCATTAGGAAATTATGCTGCTGGCCAGGCATGGTGGCTCACACCTGTAATCCCAGCACTTTAGGAGGCTGAGGCAGGAGGATCGCTTGAGTTCAGGAGTTTGAGACCAGCCTGGGCAATGTAGCGAGACCCTATTTCTACAAAAAATACAAAAATTAGCCAGGCATTGTGGAGTAGTCCCACCATGGTGCCTGTAGTCCCAGCTACTCAGGAAGCTGAAGTGGGAAGATCACCTGAGCCCAGGAAGGTCGAAGTTGCAGTGAGCTGCGATCGTACCACTGCATTCCAGCTGGGCAACAGAGTGAGACCTGTCCCGCCCCAAAAAAGAAAAGAAGTTATGCTGATATTGTCCCCACTTTACAGCCAAGGAAACAGAGGTTCAGGGAGGTTCTCTAACTCACCCCAAATCGCCCAAACAGTAACAGCAATCAGAATTAAAACCCAGTCCTGACTGCAAATGTGTCCTTAACCAGTGCCTTTCCAGAAACTATCCCAGCAGAAATAATTTTTCCTTCCTTTGCACCCTCTTACAATTCTTACAGTATGGTTTATACTCTAGTCACCCACCCGTGTCAAATCCTGAGCACACAGAGACAGCATGACCCCTAATCCCTCAAAGGCTCCCAATCCAGAGAAGGGGATAAACTATCAAGACATGATGTGAAGGTGGTGACCTCCGCAAGAGGTAAAGATGATGGACTAGGAAGCCCCAGGTCCTCCTCCCTGGGGAGACACTGAACCAACAGCAACAAACCAATTCCCTGTGAGAAATCCAGAAACCAAGAAGAGGCTCCTGTACCCCAGATGAGGACAAAACCAGCTGCATCGAACCCAGCAGAAAAATTTGTAACACTCAGTTGCCATAGTCTCTCCCCTCCCTGCCCAATCATGATCATGAGATAATCCCCAGCTCCTAGGTTCTACCTGAGACAGAAAGAAAAGACTGAAAAGTATGTATAATGTTTGGACTTTTGGGGGGATCAGGTTTTTGTTTTGTTTGAATTTAAGTACTGACAGAAAAGGGCAGCAGGTTGAGGACCACAGGTAACAAAGGTGACAGTTTAGACTGGCAAGCAGGCACTCACTCATCACTCATCCTTGGCTCAGTGCAGAACAACCAGGGGCAAACTCCCACCTCCCAGCTTCTCCCTAGGGAGGGAAAGAGGTGCAATGTGCATCCAACATTCTAACTTTTCAGAGGCTCTTTGGGGGACTGGTTTCTGTCTCTAAGCACTTGACAGGATACAGCATACTCTGGATGCCTGGGGGACATTTAGAACAAAACAGCTGGGTGGCTTGCTGCTGATCCAGAGGATCCCTGAAACAGTAGAGAAAGGTCAACACAGTCCAGTGGCCTCTCTCAGCGTTGGTGGGGGTGTGGAGTGTGCATTTAACATTCTGTCTTTTAGGGGAGCTACCTGAAGGACTGCCTTCTATCTTGCCTAACTTGGGATACTCATGGGACATGGCATACTCTAGTAAAAGTCTAGGGGCCACTGAATAAGGTAGCTGGGAGACTTGCAGCAGCTCCAGAAAAACTGCAGTATCACAGGCAGACACTAGAGGGAGCAAGAGATTATGAGCTCCTGAAAAAGGAAACCAGCAAATCCCTCTAATTGGGAATTCACACCCACAAATCCAGAAAAGACATATCCTCAGGAAAGGATTGAGAGGCCCTCAGAATCTCTATCCATGTTGACTGGTGAAGGCCAATCACAAAGTACAAAGATAGACCACAAAAACTGGGAGAGACAGATGATTTTTCAAATGCAGAAGTCACCGGTACAAGTTACCAAGTACATGAATAAGCAGGGAAACATGGTCCAATTAAAGGAACGAAATAAATCTCCAGAAACTAACCTTAAAGAAACAGAAGTATATAAATCACCTGATAAAGAATTCAAACCAGCCGTAATAAAGATGTTCAATGAGCTCGGGAAAGTGATGCTTGAACAAAATAATTTTGGAGCTGAAGAATACAGTAAATGAATTGAAAAATTCACTAGAGAAAGCCAGGCATGGTGGCTCACATAGGTAATCCCAGCACTCTGAAAGGCTGAGGCTGGAAGATCACTTGAGCTCAGGAGTTGGAGAACCAGCCTGGGCAACATAGTGAGGCCCCATCTCCAAAAAATAAAAATAATAAGCTTTGCGCAGTGGCAGTATCGTAGTCAATGAGGTTTATCCGAGGCGTGATTATTGCTAATTGAAAACTTTTCCCAATATCCTGCCATGACGACTTGAAATATAGTCAGCATTGGCAATTTTTGACAGTCTCTATGGAAACTGAATTAAAAATAAATAAATAAATAAAAATTAAAATACATAAATTCACTAGAGGAGATCAATAGTAGGCCTTATCGAGCAGCAGAAAGAGTCAGCAAACTCAAAGACAGGTCATATGAAATTAGTCAAGATTTAAAAAAAGAAAAATGGAAAAGAATGAAGAAAGTCTTAGGGACTTATGGGACTTCATCAAGGAGATCAATATAGGTATTATGAGAGCCCCATAGGAGAAAGACAGGGGGAGAAAGCTTATTAGAAGATATAATTGGCCAGGCTCAGTGGCTCATGCCTATAATCCCAGCACTTTGGGAGGCTGAGGTGGGTGGATCACCTGAAGTCAGGAGTTCAAGACCAGCCTGGCCACCATGGAAAAACACTGTCTCTACTAAAAATACAAAAAGTAGCCAGATGTGGTGGCACACGCCCATAATCCCAGCTACTGGGGAGGCTGAGGCGGGAGAATTGCTTGAACCCAGGAGGCAGAGGTTGCAGTGAGCTGAGATTGTGCCACTGCACTCCTGCCTTGCCAACAGAGTGAGATTCTGTCTCAAAAAAAAGACATAATGGCTGAAAACCCCCAAAGTTGGAGAAAGAAGTGGACATCCAGATTCAAGCCCAACAGATCTCAATTAGCATGAACCCAAAGAAGTCTACATTCAGACATATTTTAATCAAACTGTCAAAAGTCAGAAAAAAACTGGGCCTGTAGTCCCTGGCATGTGCCTGTAGTCCCAGCTACTTGGGAGGTCGAAGTGGGAGGACTGCTTGAACCCAAGAGTTAAAGTACAGCCTGAGCAACAATGCAAGATCCTATCTCTTTAAAAAGGCAGAAAAGAGACACCAGGGATGTGCATGCACAGAGAAATGTGAGGGCACAGTGAAAAGATGGACATCTGTAAGCCAAGGAGTGAGGCCTTGAAAGGAACCAAACCTGCCAGCACCTTGCTCTTGAACTTGGCTAGTCTCCAGGACTATGAGAAAACTAATTTCTGTTGTTGAAACCACAGTTTATAGCAGCCCTAGTAAACTAATACGGCATGCAACGAAAATTCAGACTCCTAAGCCCCACCATAAACATTCTGGATCAGAATCTCTAGGACTGGGCCCTGGCAAATGCATTTTTAACAACCCTCTAAGAGATTCTGATGCAGATTGAAAGCAGGGATTCCTACTTTCTGTAATAACATAACATGGTTGACTAATTTCTACAGAAATGAATGCAGATGGGGAGGACTATCATCATCAGTACAAGGAAATTGTTCTAATAATTGGGATCTCTTAACATTTTAGCCAAATTTCACCCATTTTTTTCTGTTAGTATCAAGGCAGCATTCCATAAAAGAAACAATAATGGGTGTCACCTAGCTTCAGGGAATTGTGTGACACTGGTATAAGCTGTGTTAAAGAAATCATCACTGGAAATTTGTATTAGAATGTACTTGTGTTTGCAGCCATGAATAGCTCTATAATTATTTAAAAAAAAAAAAAATAGCCGGTGAGGCCTGTAATGCCAGCACTTAGGGAGACCAAAGCAGGCAGATCACCTGAGGCCAGGAGTTCAGGACCAGCCCAGCCAACAAAGTGAAACCCTGTCTCTACTAAAAATACTAAGATTAGCCAGGCATGGTGTCCTGTAGTCCTAGCTACTCAGGAAGCTGAGGCGAGACTCACTTGAATCTGATAGACAGAGGTTGCAATGAGCTGAGATTGGGCCACTGCACTCCAGTCTGGGCAGCAGACTGAGACTCCATCTCAAACAAACAAACAAAAAATGCAGCCTAGATAGAGCAACAACAACAAACAACAAAACCCCCAAAACTCTAAGAATAAAGGTTTCCAAGACACTAAAAAAATTCATACAAAATAATTTTATGCTTCTCTGGCTCATGTTTATATCCTCTTTCCAAAAACAAACCTGTCAGAAGTCAAAGACAAAATTTTGGAAGCAGCAAAAGAAAAAGCAACTCATCACATATGAGGCAGCCTCCAAAGATTATCAGATTTCTTAACAGAAACTTTGCTAAGAGTGGGATAATATAATTCAAGATGCTGAAAGAAAAAAAAAATGCCAACCAAATATACTGTATCTGGCAGAGCTGTCCTTTAAAAATGTAGGAAAAATAAAGATTTTACCAGATAAAAGGTAGGGAGTTCATCACCATTAGACCTGCCTCATAAGAAATGCTAAAAAGAGTCCTTCAAGTAGAAAAGATGCTAGACAGCAGAAGAAACTCATATGAAAATATAAAGCTCATAGGTCTGGTGCAATGGCTCACGCTTGTTAATCCTAGCACTTTGAGAGGCTGAGGCAGGCGGATCACAAGGTCAGGTGTTCAAGACCACCCTGGCCAAGAGGGTGAAACCCCATCTCTACTACAAATACAAAAATTAGCCAGGTGTGGTGGCACACAACTGTTATCCCAGCTATTCGGAAGGCTGAGACAGGAGAATTGCTTGAACCCAGGAGACAGGCTGCAGTGAGCCAAGATCACACCACTGCACTCCAGCCTGGGCAACAGAGCAAGACTCCATCTCAAAAAATCAAAAACAAACAAATAACACAACAATTAAAAAACAATTAAGGTATAGTACAACAAGTGTTTACATAGCCTTGACATTGTATTAGGTATTATAAGTAATCTAAAAATGATTTAAAGTATATGGAAGGATGTGTGTAGGTTATAAGCAAATATTATGCCATTTTATGTAAGAGGTTGAGCATCTACAGATTTTGATATCCACAGCAGGTCCCACAACAGTCATCCCATGGATACAAAGGGATGATTGTACTTCCCTATTTTATTTTTTGAGACCAGGTCTCACTCCTGATGCCCAGGCTGGAGTGCAGTGGCAAAATCAGGCACACTGCAGCCTTAACTTCCCAGGCTCAGATGATCTTCCCACCTTACCCTCCCAAGTATCTGGGACTACAGGCGTGCACTACCACAACTGGCTAATTTTTTTTAGTAGAGAAGGGGTTTTGCCATGTTGCCCAGGTTGGTCTCAAGCTCCGGGACTCACATGATCCACCCATCTCAGCCACTATTTACTTTAAGTATAAATGGATTAAACTCCCCAATCAAAAGACATGAAGAGGCTGACGGAATTTTTTTTATAAAAGATTCAACTATATGCTCTACAAGAGACATATTTTAGTAAAACCTGAAAATCAACAGAAGAAAAGCTGGAAAATCCACAAATATGTGGAAATTAAACAACACACTCTTGAACAATCAATGAGTCAAAAAAGACATCAAAAGGAAAATTAGAAAATATCTTGAGACACGCCAGGAATGGTGGCTCATGTCAGTAATCCCAGCACCTTTTGGGAAGCTGAAGCGGGAGGATCACTTCAGGCCAGGAATTCGAGAACAGCCTGGGCAACATAGTGAGACCCTGTCTCTACAAAAAAAAGAAAAACAACAAAAAACAAACAAAAAGAAAATATCCTGAGACAAACTAAACCCAACATATACAAAATTATGAGATGCGACAAAAGCAGTACTAAGAGGAAGTTTACAGCGTAAACACCGACATCAAGAAAGAATAAAGATCGAGTTCCTGGTTCCGTAGGAAAAAAAAATAAAGATAAGGATGGAGTTAGGAGAGGAAGACAGAGGCAAAGTTAATTACTTTATAACAGGAAGCTAGGGGAAAAAAAGAATAAGTTTTAGGCTGGGCACGGTGGCTCACTCCTGTAATCCCAGCACTTGGGGAGGCAGAAGCAAGCAGATTACGAGTTCAGGAGTTCAAGACCAGCCTGGCCAATATGGTGAAACCCTGTCCCTACTAAAAATACAAAAATTAGCCAAGCGTGGTGGCACGCACCTGTAGTCCCAGCTACACTGGAGGCTGAGGCAGGGAATTGCTTGCACCTGGGAGGCAGAGGTTGCAGTGAGCTGAGATCGCGCCACTGCACTCCAGCCTAAGTGACAGGGAGAGACTCTGTCTCAAAAAAAAAAAAAAAAAGAACAATAAATTCTAGTGTTCTATTACACAGTAGAGTGACTACACTAATAACATTGTTCTGTATATGTCGAGATGGCTAAAGAAAGATCTTGAAAGTTATCACCACAAAGAAATGATAAAGGTTTGAGGTCATGGACACTGGACATGCTAACTACCCTGATCTGATCATTATACAAGGAACATGTATTAAAATACTATACTGTGCCCCCCCACAAACATGTACAATTATTATGTGTCAGTTATAAACGAAACAGAAAGAGCTCAAGATACTATGTGAAACCACGAAAGGCATTAAAGACTGAAGAACGGGGAGAAAGGGCGCCCAGAGGAGTTGCGCTAACCCCGCCTGGGACGTAGGTGAGAGGCGAATTGGGTCTTGGAAGATGACTTGGAAAATGATCGTTTAACCAGATATTACCAGACCGGCACACAGTAGGCTCACCAAAGAACAGAAGTGACCTTTTTTCCTGAGTCGCAGGATCGGCCTCAATCTGGGCCTGTCCTTGACCTGGGCTATCGGGCAGTTGGACGCTTCCCAGAGTAGAGACCACAGAGGAAGACAAACCGTAGTACCCGCTGCCGCCCGCCCCGGAAGCTAGAACTTTCCCCTCACCCGCGTCGAAGCAGAGAACACTGTAGCCACCGCCATTTTCCCCACCAGCATCGGAAACCGTCTGCTCAAGACACTTCCGGGAACTCCCAGCCGAACAGCCAGCCGACTACGGTAGCCAAGGAGGACCTGAGGCGGAAGTTGCGTCACGCCGCATGCCGGAAGTGGCGGTGCGTGTGACGCCGGCGGCGGGGGGCGGGACCTGGGGCGGAGAGCGGTTCGCGCGCTTCGGGCCTAGTCCGGACTCGCCGCCGCCGCCGCCATATTCCCGGTAACGGGGGCGCGCGGCCGGGGGCAGGTTGGGCCGGAAGAGGGGTCGGGGTCGGCGCTGAGGCGGGGAGGGGGTTGGTTGAGATGGGACGGCAGGAATCGGCGGGCGGAGGGAGGCGCGGGCCTTTGAGGGAGGAGGCAGAGAGCGCCGGGCCGGGTTTGTGGGGAGGGAGCGGGGCGGGCCTAGCTGGGGGCCAAGAGTAGGCCTGGGTGGGGAGCCGAGGCGGCTGGAGCTGCTTGACCCCCAGGGGCCCTGGCCAGAGCCGCTTTGGGGCCTAGGCAGGTGCGGCGGACAGGGGCTGTGGGCTTCGCCGCGGTCATTCTTCGCAACGCGGTCTTTGGGCCCCTAGGAGCCGCGGGTGGGACTTTTCCGTCGCGCCATAGGCAGCTGCGGCGCCGACGCGGCGCTACCGGGATCGGGCCCGAGGGTGATGGGCAGCGACCCCCGGCGGCCTGGAGAGCCGGGGGGCGGCGCGAGGCCGAGGGCGGGGCGGAGCGGGTGGGGCCGGGCTGGGGCCGCCGGGATGCTGCGTCTCTGGAGACGGGAGGTTAGCAACCATTGCCCTCCTCCCAGCCCAGGACCCTCATGCCTCCTCATTCTTGCATTTTTCCGAATCCCGCAGTGGCATCTTCCTTACTTTGTCCATCCTCCGGGCTCGCGATCTTTCTTCCGGAGCCATGTCAGAAGGAGTGGACTTGATTGATATATATGCAGACGAGGAGTTCAACCAGGTGAGGGGTCATCAGGAGCTTTGGGATTTTCCTTGATCATCTGAGGAATCATTTTCAGCAAACTTGCAGTGGTTTCAAGCTGTACGAGTCGTAGGCTTGAACACGCGTCTACCCGGTCTAAAATTTTTCTCCTGCAGAAACTTTATGTTCCGCTTTATGTTAATTTGAGGCTCCAGGCTTAATTTTAAAGGCTTTAAGAGCAAATAAAAACCTGTAATAGAATAGTGAATCAACCTGTGGAATTTACTCCCCAGGAAGCCAAAGTTGGATGTCAGACTAACCACACTTTAAAATCAAAAGTACATTTGCTACAGTATTCATGAGGACAGTGTTGTTACCTGTTCCTTTACATTCTCAAACTGCAGCTGGAGAAGTGTAGTCCCCTCCACCATGACAGTGCAACGTAGAAAAGATAACTTTAACATTTAGTTTCAACTGCATCCCAATTAAGTTTTACTTCCTTTTATAAGTAGGTTGACTCCAGTCATGAGACGTCCACAGGCGTTTTGGTATGATTTTACTGATTAACTTTAGTCTTTCTAGAAGGAATAAAAGGGTAAAGACATTAGACAAACCAGCTAAAAGACAGAGACAGATCCATGCACATACCCTTAGTTAGATTTGTTTTTATTGTACTGGGGAATATTATACAAAAATTTATCTAGAGCTGGGCATGATGGCTCTTGACTGTAATATCAGCTGCTCCAGAGGCTGAGGTGGGAAGATTGCTTAAAGCCAGGAATTCAGTACCAGCCTGGGCAACATAGCAAGACCCAGGCTCTACAAAAATGTAAAAAAAAGCAACCAGATGTGATGGCTTGTGCCTGTAGTCTCATCTACTCTGGAGAGTGAGTCAGGAGATACTCCCTGAGGCCAGAAGTTCAAGGCTGCAGTGAGCCATGATTAGGCCACTGCACTCTGTCCTGGGCAACAGCAAGACCCTGACTCTTCAAAACCAAATAAAAAAATCTTCCATGCAGTTCAGTTTTTCAATCTTGAGGTCAATTCTCAAGAATGTTCCAAAGTTTCTATTTAAAACTTACTAATATCTTGCCTGGGTTATTTTCAGCACTATTCTACCTAAGTAAGCTGACTCTTCCCATTGGCATCCTCCAGTGGGTATACATAGGGACCTGGCAAAAGCATGTAATGAATGGGCTAGAAAAGGAAAGTTACCTGGTTGGACCCTGACTTTGATATGAGGCAACAGAAGAGGTGGATTTGTGCCATTTATTTTTCACTTGCCATAATTTTACGTTAAAATCTATTTTTTGGTGCATTATGGATTTGTAAGAAGGAAATTTATAAGCCATACACAAAAGTAGAATAGTGTAATGACCTTGTACCCATTATACAGCTTCACCAATTATACTTTTTAATGGCAGGTTTCTTGTCTCTTCTCTGGTAAACTGTGAAGTCCTTTAAATATAGCTGCTGATTGTCTTAAATACATGAATTTATTTATTTATTTTTTGAGATGGAGTCTCGCTCTGTCATCCAGGCTGGAGTTCAATGGCTGGATCTTGGCTCACTGCAACCTCTGCCTCCCAAGTTCAAGCTATTTTCCTGCCTCAGCCTCTTGAGTAGCTGGGACTACAGGTGTGCACCACCACACCTGGCTAATTTTTGTATTTTTAGTAGAGTCGGAGTTTCACCATGTTGGCCGGGCTGGTCTCAAATGCCTGACCTTGTGATCTGCCCCTCTCGGCCTCCCAAAGTGCTGGGATTGCAGGTGTGAGCCACAACGCCTGGCAAAAAAATTTTTTTCATTAAGTCTAATAATTATGGATGAAAGACAAAAGTACCATATGTTAATTTAGTTACAAAGCCATTGTTTTGCTGAATTTTTCCATATTCCTTTGAATCAGACTTTTACTGCCTTTAAAAAACAAATAGAGGCAGCAGTCTCAATTGTGTTTTAGAATATTTTAAGAATGTTAACTGATAGGCCCCAAGCTGGCCCATGCACAAGAAGCCCTTCATGTGTACTTTGCTCCCCAAGGAAAATTAATATTTTTCCTAGGTGGAACCCTATGGTGCTTACTCCCTGATCTCATAGAGCATTTGCTGCAAAAACCTTTTTTGCCAGAGCTACTTTATTTCTGACACATTGGGAGTCCTGGGATTCACACTGGCTCTCTTGGGCCAGGGAAAAGAACTCTGGAAAGGTGACTGAGAGTGGCTGCTCTGCTGGGAGGTTGTCTTCTCATACTGAGACAGGCTTTACACAATGTGCCCAGTTCTCTTCTTTTCTCCCATCAAATAGTATTTATTGAGCTAATTGTGTTTGCTAAGCACTTTGCCAGGACTAGTGAGGTAAAAGGGGGAAAAGAAGTACTCAGAACAGATTCTACTCTTGGTGGGTAGGGGTGGTGGACAATCACAGTGCAGAGTCCAGTGAAGGGCAAGGAGAGTGTGAAGCGAGAACTGTGGAAATGGTCATTATAAAGTCAATTTTTTATTAAACCTTGGTTACAATGAAAAGAAACAATGGGCTAATCCCAACACTTTGGAAGGCCAAAGCGGGCGGATCACTGGAGGTCAGAAGTTCAAGACCAGCCTGACCAATACAATGAAACCCCGTCTCTACTAAAAATACAGAAATTAACGAGGCATGGTGGCAGGCTCCTGTAATCCCAGCTACTTGGGAGGCTGAGACAGGAGAATCGCTTGAACCCAGGAGGCAGAGGTTGCAGTGAGCCGAGATCACACCACTGCACTCCAGCCTGGGTAACAGAGTGAGACTCTGTCTCAAAAATAAATAAATTTTTAAGAAAGAAATTTATTAATAAATTTTAGGAAATAATTTTAAAAAATAAAAAAAACAATGATACCAAGTTGGTTGCGTGTATAGCTGAGAAAAATAAATCCTGGGCCAGTTACTTCCATCAGTGGGATATCAGGAAGAAGAGGGTGGTGGTTAGGAACTTCGAGCAGACAAGTGGAGAAGATCTTATTTAAATTGAAAATCATACATGTTCTCTCTTGTTTACAGAGAAGCAAGAAGTTTCATGAGACAGTCACAGTTTTTTCTGTGCTGTTGAACACAAAATTCTTTGAGATTGTCATTCAATATTAAATACACATTTCATGTTTAATCTCCCTGGAATGAAACTTTGAAAATCAGTGCATGTACAATGTACTTTTCACTTAATTTGTAGAATTTGGTTGTACTTTATTACTGCATAAATCACCAGCAAAATCTCAGACCCTTAATCTGTGTTTCTCTTTTGCTAGCTAAACAAGTAAAATGAATGATGATAGGGGATTGAAATAAGAACAATTTGATACCTTGTTTATTCGGTAGAACCCTCAACAGACTTGCCCTGTGCAGTTCCCACTAGCTTTTTTGAACTGAGGCTCTGTGGCCCACAGAGACCATTTAAATCTTGTGATAATTTTGTATTCATTGAATCCTTTTGTTTCTGAAAGTGTTAGCCATACGAAGATCCTCCTAGATCTAGACTGTTCTATTCTTTTTTTTTTTTTTTTTAGACGGGGTTTCGCTCTTGTTACCCAGGCTGGAGTGCAATGGCGCGATCTCGGCTCACCGCAACCTCCGCCTCCTGGGTTCAGGCAATTCTCCTGCCTCAGCCTCCTGAGTAGCTGGGATTACAGGCACGCGCCACCATGCCCAGCTAATTTTTTGTAGTTTTAGTAGAGACGGCGTTTCACCGCGTTGACCAGGATGGTCTCGATCTCTTGACCTTGTGATCCACCCGCCTCGGCCTCCCAAAGTGCTGGGATTACAGGCGTGAGCCACCGCGCCCAGCCAGACTGTTCTATTCTTTAAGGGACCTTAAAAGAGTAAATTGGTTGCCTGAGCTTGTAGTATGAAGAGTTTCCTGGTGATGCATTTGGCCCCTGAGCTGTCAAAATCTGCATGTTAGTCCACTACTCAGTTTTCGGTGATAATTTTTACATCACAGCTATTAGACACATACATCCAAATTACAGATACTGCATGGAAAGGAATCTCCGTTTGTTTCCATTTGATTATCTAAGATGATGTATTTCCTTATTCCCTTTAAGTTTCATTTGAAAATTCTTGATTTAAAAAAATGAAGGCTGGGCACGGTGACTCATGCTTGTAATTCCAGCACTTTGAGAGGCCGAGGTGGGCAGATCACCGAGTAT